GTAATATTTTGCAGATTTGATAGACTCTCGAGATCTTGAGTTCAGATCTATAGCAAATAACATCAGTTTTTGGACACACTAATGCATTTCACTACATGACAGTGATGAATGTAAAACCATGTCTCCTCATTCCTGCACATATGTTTCAGCTCCTACAGCAGGAGACTCTCGACAAGAAGAAACCTCACAGGTCTGTAACCTTTATTCCACTCTCCAAGATAACACAGTCAATAATCAGTAACTATTTAGTTTTGTTTGTGTGTTGTTTAACATTGCAACTAACTAAATTACTCTGAAATATTGTGAGAGCGAAGCACATGTGACTGGCAACTCCGTCACTTATATTTCATCATGATTTTCTATCACTTGAAAAGTTATTACCATTTTATCCTAAGTGCATAAATCGATGCTCATGATATAGATCACTAGATAGTCCAGTCCAGACTATAGTGTGCAGACTGCTGTGATATAGCTGGTTTTGTAACAGATTGAGTAGGCCATTTGTCAGTCTCAGCAAATTTTATTCAACCCCTTTGTCCTCAATGTTTGTCTGCAGGATCTGATACTATCAACAGAAAAGTTAACCATGTCCTTGTTGTAACATCGGTAGTCACCAACTATCACACTGATAGTCACCCCTCAATGACAACCTGTGAGAGACAGTGAGGAAGTAACATGATGTTACAACAAGGACATGGTTAACTTTTCTTAATATGGGGACACTATCCACGTTAAAAAAGAGTGTTATATCAATACTTTGATGTGCACAAAATAATCTGTACAATGAGACAATGCTCAGTTTCTGACTAATGTTAGTGAATAGGCCTTAGCAGAAATTGAACATGAAGCTGTGGAGTACAGTCCCCCTTCATTCCCTATGATTCAGTGATAAACCAGACTGACTGCTTGGGACGTGTATAACTGAAAAGGTGTTACATTTTCTTCTTAAAGCTAACTTTTTGGCTTTCAGACAGAAGAAATTCTCAAAGATGAAACTAAGATTGATGAAACAGAACTTGAAGATGATGACGATGAGAAACATCCTGAAGGTGATAGCCAATCAGAAGCCTCCATGCAGAACAATGAAGGGAAGCAGCCAATAAACGAGGGTAATACACATGAAGATGATGAAGATGACACTGAGTTTGATAAGGAGGATGTAGATGAGGACACAGAAAAACCTGAAGGTTTGTTGATTATTTGAGCCAATAAATATGCCATTAACTTTCTTGTTTCTAAATCGGTATGATTTTGCACAATATATTTTGAAAGCTTCAAAGAAGAGGAATACTGATTTTTTTATCACTCTATATTACTTCTCAAACACTTGAGTCCAGAAGCCTCAGTCATTCATGGTCATATAAAACTGAAAAGCAGCTTCTCACTGGATGCATTGTGTCTAATATGTGCAGTGAACCAGTCACAACTTAACAAAAATGTCATTTGTTACTGTTGGCAAGAGACACTCGCATTCTTTTTCAGAAGAAGTCCTCCTTGGGGTACATATAAGCATTAAAATGTCCATTTTAAAACCTACGACAGTTGTAACTATATTTTAATAAAAATATTTACAAAACAAAAAACACGTTTTTGTCTTGTGAGACCACCCCTACAGGGCCCCTCAGGGCCTCCTACAGGCAAGAGCAGGTAACCCTAGCCGTCAACCTCGCACCTCACTTTTCATGCTGTCGTCCATTACGAAAGACGTGTGTGTGTGTGTTCATTGAAGTTTAGAAACTTCTTCCTACGGAAATGAGTGGTAAAGAGTCACCTGCTGTATGTATGGTTCCTTTTCTTTCGCACGGGCCCTAGATGGAATTTATAGGCTGAACTTTTCATTCATAAATTGTTGTAACTTTGCCAGTCGGGTTCCCATTACCAGCCATGTGGCAGGCAAGATGGCGGATCGGGTGGCTAACATTCGTTCCTTGTTGTGTGGCGCTTGGCGTTCACAAAACTAGGACGGCTGTATATATGTTTACCATATGCTAGGCTTGCCTAATTAATTTCACTTTCAGTGAATTTAAGGAAAGTCTGAGTTGGTAATTTAGCATGTACGTTTGTATTTGCTGTATATTAGAAAAAGAAAAATATGGGCTAAGGACCCACCCTCCAAATCCTCTAAGGGCAAGAAGAGTTCTTCCTCTTCGGCTGTTAACGGGGGTAGGGGTGGGGTGGGGGTAAGCGGGCCAAGATGGTGGGAAAACACCCTTCTTCCCCTATCCCCTCTACATTTGCACAATCCGTTTCTGCATCTGCACCATTAACGTTAACAGATTTGTCCTCCATATTGCAGCAGCAGATGACTTCGGTTCGCTCACTTATCTCGGGACACGATGTCTCCAGCAGGAGATCGGTATCGATTCAGGGGTTAGTGGCGCTCTGGGGTCGTCTGCCGGAGGCACCCCTACCTCGGGCTTAGGCTCCGGGACGGGTTCTGCTTCCGGGGCTGTGCCTAATCCGAGCTTCGGCTCCGGTGACGGCCTCTCTGCCGGTGCAGTTGTGTCTGACCCGAGCCTCGGCTCCGGTACAGTCCAGCTCACTGGCCCTTTGGGTCTCGTACGGTTGGCAACCGGCACCCAAGCTGTGGGTACTTGAGCGCCGGCGCTGCCAGTTACCTTTGTGCCTTCCAGTTTTCTGGGGAATCCTGTTACGGCAGGCACTTCCCTGGGTCCCCGACGACTAGGTTCGGCCTCGAGCCAAGGGTTGGTCGAGCCAGGCTCCTCGGCTCTTCTTGATCCGTTGTCCTTGTCTATGGATCCTGCTTCCGTGACTTCGTAGGTGACTCTTGACAACGAGAGCTCACACCTGGAGGAGCGGGAGGAGGAAGCCATGGAGGAGGATGGGGGTAGGGAACAGTCAGGGGAAGGTAGCTTCTCGCTTGGCATTTCCCTGCGGACGACCCCGACCCCGTGGAGTTTCGTCTCCCTGGGGATGCCTTTGCTCCATGTCAGGACCCATCGCCTAGACCCATTTGCGCATTTTGCCTTCGCTTGTTAGCGAGGTAATAAATCCTCTCTTATCAGGTAGTCGGTCACGGTTCGATCTCCCGGAGCACAACCGTCGCTACTTGATGGGAGAGGAGGCTCTGTTTGACTCTCCGGTGGTTGATGAGTGCATTTATGCCTCGGTCGCCCTAGGGGGGCCATCTGGCCAGTCAGGCGTCGGCTCGGCAGGGCCGGCGCTCGCCTCCATTTACCTCAAATAACAAGGTGTTGAAGTCGGTATATCGCTCTTTTGAGGAGCAATACCGCAACGCCGCGCAACAGCTTAAGGTTACCGTCCACTCAGCTTACCTCTCTGCCCTGCAGAGGAAGCTGGTGGGCCAGGGGGACGTGGACGGTGCCGTACCGTCGTCCATGTTGGCGAGGCAGCTTACGGAGGTGCACTCACATTACGCATGCAATGCCATACGGTCGTGCGCAAGCCAGATGATGATTGCAGTTATGGGCCTCCGTAGGCTATGGCTGTCGGTCACCACGTATTCTCTGGCTACGCAGCAGGCTCTACTCTCTTTGCCCTTCAGGATAGGTTCGACCTTATTCCCGGGGGCTTGGACTATAGTCAGGGAGGCCGCGCAGGCGGTTAGCCAGTTTAAGGACTCCAAGCCCTTACTCGAGCACCCCCTCACTTCTCACGCCCGGCCTTCCGTCCTTGCCAGTGCATATGCTTCCTCTTCGGGTTACCAAGAAGGACGGAGGGTTCAGACCCATTCTAAATCTAAAGGGTCTTAACGACATGATCGAGGTGCCGTCTTTCAAGATGGAGACACTGCGCTCAGTGATCTCGTCTGAAGAGGCAGGGGATTGGCTAATGTCAATCGACCTCAAAGACGCATACCTCCATGTACCGATGCACCCCGAGTTCAGGAAATACCTCCGGTTTTCCTTCTACGGGAAGTGCTATCAGTTTCGTGTGCTCCCATTCGGCATCTCCTCGGCGCCAAGGGTGTTCACAAAACTCATGCTGGTGCCAGCTCAAGTCGCCAGGGCACAGGGCAACTTTGGTTACCTGTACCTGGATGACTGGCTTCTCAGCACTCGCCACCCACTTGAGTCGGGATTCGACACAGACAGTGATGGATACTCTCACCAAGTTGGGTTGGATTATCAACCTCAAGAAATCAGAACTGATTAGGGGCCCTAAGGGGCCAAGTAGGGGTGGTCTCACAAGACAAATACATGTTTTTTGTTTTGTTAATAGTTTTATTAAAATATAGTTACAACTGTCGTAGGTTTTAAAATGGACATTTTAATGCTTATATGTACCCCAAGGAGGACTTTCTTCAAAGAATTCATAACCTCTACAGGTTTGTATAAATTATCTAATTATTGTCACAATTTACAGTACATTATCCTGGATGACTGAGTGTGTGACCTTCCTATTTCTCAAGGTCACAGAATTGCTGTTGTCCTTGACCCTGACATACTGTGTAAAATGAAGTAGTGTGGTCTTATGTTTTTGTTTATGATTTTATTTAAATGTCATGTTAACCTGTTAGTTTCAGTGCGAGAGGATGAAGACTTCTTGCTTGGGTTGGAAGACCTTGATAAGAACTTTTTTGACATACATGACAGTTTAGATGAAGTTCGAGGTTGGCTATAGTATTGATGTGTGCCTGTCTGTAATTCTGTTTGTAATGAAGCCCTAATCCTTGTTAATGACATCTCATCATTGCTCATAGTTCAAGGTCACTGACTGGAAACACTAGAAACTTAGAAAACACAGGATGACTTTCAACATTATGCCTATTGTTTATTATTTATTAAAGCAGGAAAGTCTCTTTGTCAGGTAGATTAGCAGATTGTTCAATATCAGATAGCATTTATCATTTATCAGTTAGCATTGCTTGTATCCACCCCTATTTGCTAAACTCACCTACAAAATCCTGGGTTATGTCCCTTTAGAGTAGCCATCATTTTCCTTATGTTGCTGTCAGTTATTGAGAGCATCTCCTTTTCCTAAGCTCTGCATCTTCATGTCAGTGCATGGTTCATGTAAAAAATGTCAGCACATGTTGAGTATTGCCTGCTGTGTTAATTTTAGATATGACTCTTAGTCATTAGCAAGTTTCTGTGAAACAGTGAGTACATATGGAAGGATTTGAGGTATGGGGTGTCAAACCTTAGCATTGCATTACATTTTGAAGGATTGTAGTTATTGTGGCAATGAAGGTGTTTTCTAAGAAGTCAGTGACCTTGACTGCAGTCTCTTTTGTACACCCTTTCTCTAACCAGGACTTGTTTTTCCAGTAATCCTTTACAAAACAAATGTTATCTTGTTCCTATATTAGCTGTATAGCTTTTTTTGACCAAATGGTAAAAAAAGCCAAGCTGCATCTCTCACGATTCTGAGTATATTCGAAGACATGTATGCATGGTGTGCTCTAGAGTCTTCATGGTGTACTGCAAAGTCTTTATGGTCAGTCTAAGTAAACTTCTGCTCAGTATTAGTCGTTACACTGCTATTCTGAGTCTAACAACCCCTTGTAGAAGGTCGCATCTGCTAACCTTTTGAATTGACCAATCAGAACACAGTTTACCAAATTGCGAAAGTTAACTTTCACAGATACTGTTTGAACTTTTACCTAAAAAACTAAAATGATTCCGATTGCTATTTTCTGCACAATTGCTGTGATACACATAGAGGACGCCACCATTCACAACAGTCGCTGAAAATAGCGTTTTTGTCAATATTCCAGGATGTCATCTTGCCGAAATATCAACTAATAGTAACCATGTCGTCAGAAACCCCTAAGCGTATATACTGTAGGTCTAATATCTGTGTTTTATACGGATCTTGTTTGTTGAGAGATCAGTGTCAGCGACCGGGTAAGAGAACATCCAATAACCGTTTTGTAACTCACGCTGAACCTTAAATAGTAGCCGTTGTCTGATTGGTTAAATCCATTCGGCCGTCTTGCGTTTGATTGGACGTTCATAGGTTGCTCATAGGTTAGCTGACACGACCTTCTACTAGGGTTTGTTAGACTCAGTATAGCAGTGTAATACTGAGAATAACACTGCGCCTAAGTTGACTTCGACTGTCTTTATGGTTGGACCAGAAGTCTTCCTGGTCTCATCAGACATGTTCAGTCAGGCTGGACTAAACAATAGGTATCACATAAAAAGATTTTCTGCAATCTGCTGTGGTAGACTGACTCATTAACACTCCCAGACAAATCCCAAGGGTCTTGTTAACACCTTTTCATAAAAGAGAAATGAAATATGGCCATTTTGACGATGCTGCAGACAGAAACTTGTATATTGTTGAAAGGATGGCATGATCCACTGATGTTCAATGGATATTTTCTTCTTTTTGAGATAAAACAGTGATTTTGAAAAGAAATAAGGTTGTTCATAAAATTCTGCCAGTGTCAGTCAAAGACAGTGTAGTGCAGCTATAATTTTTCCAGCAGTGGAAAATGAATGCTCCTATGCTCATGTCGCCTTCATGGTGTATCCAGATATATTCATTATTCAATACTGCAATGTGCATGATGCCATCAAACTGATTTGCCTGATTCGCTATACAGAGTTGTGTCCCTTAGGTGTGACCAAAAGCTATGATGGTTGTTTTGAATCCCTGATTTCACCACATCCATGCTTGTGGCTTTCATCCAGTGGTAATGGTCAGAGACCTGTATCACTTTGGGCTTTACTCCAGCATTAATCGGACACACCGGTTTTTTCCAATAAGCATGAAACCCAACTCCCTCACATACTCACTATACTATGACTTTACAAGAGATGTAGACTTATTGTCAATGAAATATATTTCTATATTTACATTACTACCATCAGGTGTTTCTGATGTTAACTGTATGGGTATTGACAACTGGCTAATCAGTTGATTAGATTCTTTCATGTGTAATGATAAAGAACTTTTTTGACATTAAAGTAGGCTATTTTACAATGTTCTAAAATCAAGTCTGATTGCTACAGTTTCTACTTCAGTGGTTAAAGGACAGCTTTATCAGCAATTGAATTAACGCAATCATAAATACAAAAACTCTGGTTGTACACATATTTGGAAGGGTTTTTGACTGCACACTGCTCTGATTAAAACCCAATTCTGACCTCAACATGGACCATGACCTTAACATTGACCCCAACCATGACTTTGAGTCTGACCCATTCTTGACATTGTCTTCCGTCCAAAATTCTCATCCTTCTCTGACCTCAAGTCGCACCCAAACCTAGACTCAAACAGTCCTACTCTTTAATATGCATCTTTAGGACAAGTGAGTGAGTGAGTTTTGTTTTACGCCACACTCAGCAATATTCCAGCTAAATGGCCGCGGTCTGTACATAGTCGAGTCTGGACCAGACAATCCAGTGATCAACAGCATGAGCATCGATCTGCGTAATTGGGAACCGATGACATGTGTCAACCAAGTCAGCGAGCCTGACCACCCGATCCCGTTAGTCGCCTCTTACGACAAGCATGGGTTACTGAAGATCAATATTCTAACCTGGACCTTCACGGGTCGACACCTGACAAGACACAACGGATGCAATGAAAGTATATCAAGAAGAAAGCTAACACTTGTCTGTGCATGTTCAGTATCTATCCATGTTAACATCAGTATGTGTGTAGAAATTTCCATTACTTACCATTATGCACTATTATATGTATCACATAAATGTCCTGCACCAAATTACATATTTGTTCTTGAAGTTTTAACATGCCTAGATAGTTAAACAGAGCTTTATCGATATCACAAAATAAAGAAATAGTGGATGTTATTTATAGGTAAAGAATTCTAATACGTGATTTTTTAAATAATTTTTTTGTTCTCCTCAACTATAAGCTATTGTACATAGGATATGGTGTATTTTGTCCCATTTGATTTTGGGCAGTCAAATTTAGGCAAAGTAGATATTTGGTCATGTTAAAGAAAGAAAGAAGTCATTAGTATGATCACAATACCGAAGAGAGGTTGAACATTGTAATATATACTGTCAACCACTATTATTTTGAAGTTGAAGGGACCGATGTAAATACTTTTAGTTTTTCCAGGTTTTTGCAAAAAGTTTTTCGCTTCTTAGGTATGTACAGTTACAATCATGATTTTTATCAGATGTACATGATAAAATCTACAAATAGATTTATTACTACGAGATCAGTTGCATTGACATAACTGTTGGTGTGATGAGACGTACAGATGTGAATATAGCCTATATAAGGTATTGCCTGCGATTGACATGCGATTTCCATTTTGCAGGTGTCAATGCTCCAGAGGTTGTTGAGAGTAAAGCTGGTAAAGGGGAGGAAACTCCATCCAAGGAGGATGATGGGGCTCAGAGAGAGATGCCAGCTCAGACTGATCAGGAGAATCAGGAGATTGTGGTAGACCTAAATGACAAGTCAGAAAATGAAGTGGAAGTTCCGATTCCTGAAACCCAGGAACAACCAAAGAAAAACTTGGCAGATAATCCACAGCAACAGCAGGACCAGCCTCCCAAACCACAGGATCAGCCTCCCAAACCACAGGATCAGCCCACCCAACAACAGGAACAGCATCAGGAACAGCCTCAAGAGCATCAGGAACAGCCTCCACAACAGCAGGAACAGCCTCCACAACAGCAGGAACAGCCTCCACACAAAGCAAGTGCAACCTCCCCAAAAGCAAGTGCAACCTCCCCAACAAGAGCAGCCACCACAGCAACATGCACAGCAATCACAGGAGAGTGGTAGCCAACAGCAACAACAGCAGCAAGATCAACAGCATTTCCAGCAGCAGCCTACTGGACACAAACTTGATGTAGTTTTGGCAAAGGGTTTAGATCCTAACCAATTTATTCAGCAACAGCAACAAGGTAACCAACAGCAGCAACATCAACATGTAGGTCAGCAACAGCAGCAGCAACATCAACAACAGCATGTGGATCCACCTCAAGATTCTCATCACCACCATCAACAGTATCAGGATCAAAATCAGCCCCAACAAACAGATCACCATCACCATCAACAACATCAAACAGAACCTCACCGCCATCAAAGTAATGATGTTCACAAACAGACACCTCCACCATCAGACACTGTCACAGACATGCCGGCTGTTGTCAGTCAGCCTCCTGCCACAGAGCAGCCTCCAGTCCAGGACTTCACTGGTAAGCCCACTGACATCCCTGATGCAGACGTAATTGATTCCAAGCCAGAACTGGCAAAACTTCAAACTGACAGTGAAGATGCTGGTAGTACTGTGGAGGGGATCATGAAGACTGACACAACAGACGACAAACAAAAGGAAAGTGAAGAACAATATGGTTTTGATGCCACGACATCACAACAAAGACAGTCACTGGAACCAGTTGACATTGCCTTCACCCCTGGAGACATCTCTACGTCTAGTCAGTCTGACTTATCCCCCAGTATGGAGGAAAGGGTGATGACAACAGACTCAATCCCAACTCCCACTCTAGACATCAAGGCAACTCAGGTGGAGGACCAGACAGCTACTGGAACAGAGGAACAGAATCTGAGGCAAACAGTGATCGATGGGACCACAATTCCTTTGTATGATGACATGGAAGGAGATTTTGGACTGACAACTGCACAGGATCAAGAAACATCGTCTGAATCTGTGGCTGAGGTTTCAGCTTCAGAGTCTCAGTACAAAGCAGATCTTACTGACTTGCCATTTGCTGAAGAACCATCAGATTTCACGTACACACAGGATGAAGAGCCAAAGCAAGAGCAGGAACAAAAGGAAGAAGTTAAAGACGTAGGACAGGAAGAAGTAAAGGAAGAAGAAAAGACCACTGTGGCTAACCCTGAGAAAATATTAGTTAATGATACCCAGAATACTGAGGAACCTCCCCTTCACATTGAACCAACTGCTGATCAGATATATCATGGTGATGACTTTCTGTCACGCAAACCTCTATCTGTGGGTCAAGGTCATCCCCCTCAAAACCAAGTTCAAGGTAAACCTGAAGAAGCCAAACCACCAGTTGAACCATCTCAAGCTACTGAAATCCCTGGGTCAACCTTGGCCTATGACATCACCACACCTCCATCAGATTTTGGTGAAATTCCACCACCACTTTCTGAAGCTAGAAGGTTGCCAACTGATGAGGAGCAAGGAGGTGCAGCTGACGCTCAGATTAAAGCACCCCCAGTAGAAGATCCCTACCAGACAGGATCTCACAACAGCCGGCAGTTCACCGAGGACCACTTGGAGGAGGAAACGGTAGCTGGAGAAGGAGGAGGTCTGATGGCAAGTCTGGAGTCCAGCCTGAAGGCCATCATTGTAAAGGTAGGACAATTTGATGGGTGGCCTTAAACATGACAATATTTATTGTCCCCCGCAACTCGTTTTGCGGGGGGGTGTATTAAAATGGACTCCGTCCGTGCGTCCGTCCGTCCGTGCACATTTGTCCTTTCCAGAGCAGAACTCTAAAACCGTTCAATATTTCTTCACCAAACTTGGCACATACATGGATCTGGTGGTGTACTGGTGCCTTTTGGTAGTTTTGGAATTCTGAATTAAATATTTTTGGCGTTTCCATGGCAACAAGTTCGACTTTGACTGAAATTGTTGGTAGTGCTCTTTTCCGGAGCAGAACTCTAAAACCGTTCACTATTTCATCACCAAACTTGGCACATAGATAGATCTGGTGGTCTACTGGTGCCTTTTGGTAGTTTTGAAATTCTGAATAAAATATTTTTGTCATTTCCATGGCAACAAGTTTGACTAAAACTGAAATTAGTGGTAGTGCTCTTTTCCGGAGCAGAACTCTAAAACCGTTCAATGTTTCTTCACCAAACTTGGCACATAGATAGATCTGGTGGTGTACTGGTGTCTTTTGGTAGTTTTGGATTCTGAATAAAATATTTTTGGCGTTTCCATGGCAACATTTTCGACTTAGACTGAAATTGGTGATAGAGTTCTTTTCCGGAGCAGAACTCTAAAACCGTTCAATATGTCTTCACCAAACTTGGCACATAGATAGATCTGGTGGTGTACTGGTGTCTTTTGGTAGTTTTGGAATTCTGAATAAAATATTTTTGGCGTTTCCATGGCAACAAGTTTGACTTAGACTGAAATTGGTGATAGAGCTCCTTTCTGGAGCAGAACTTTCAAAACCTTCCTTCCACTTTTCTATATACACACCTAAATATTTGACATAATCATAACTCGTAGACATAATCATGAAGAGTATTTTGCCATTGCAGGGGATATTGATGACTTTGTCTTCTTGTTTTTCCTTATCCTGACTCATGCTTAATTGCTTGTCTTCTTCTTCTTGCGAGCTATAGTGGAACACTTGAATCCCCTTTTGAAGCTCCCTTAAAAAAAGTGGACGTAAAATGTCAGAAGAAGTCCTCCTTGGGGTACATATAAGCATTAAAATGTCCATTTTAAAAAGCCTACGACAGTTGTAACTATATTTTAATAAAAATATTTACAAAACAAAGATGTTTTGTCTTGTGAGACCATCCCTATAGGGCCCCCAAGGGGCCAAGCAGGTAACTCTAGCCGACAACCTCGCACCTCACTTTTCATGCTGTCGTTCTTCGAGATAGACGTGCGTGTGTGTTCATCGAAGTTTCTACTTCAGCCTTTGAAAATGAGTGGTAAAGAGTCACCTGCTGTATGTATGGTTCCTTTTCTTTCGCACGGGCGCTAGATGGAATTGTTGGTTGATTTTTTCATTCATGATTGTTGTAACTTTGCCGGCCAGACTCCATTTTTCAGGCAAGATGGCGGTCTGTTTGGCTTCCTTCGGTCCTATGTTTTGTAACTTTTAGAAGTTACATAGCTAGGTCGGTGGGTTCTTTAGGTTACCCGTTGTAGGCTTGCCTAATGTTTTTTCACTTTCAGTGATTTTAAGGTGAGTTTGGTAAGTTTTCATATTTTTTACGCTGTTATATGTTAGGCAGGTAGCTTGCATTTTCTCCTCTTTCATGTGTACATGTTAAAGGGTTAAAATCGCGTCAGCTTTTGGCAAATGGTTTATCGCCCGTGCGTATTCTTTTTTTGCTATTACTTGTGTTATCATATATATGTGTAGTTAAACTGTACATCAGTTTCCATTAATATGGTTCTGTTTGTTACAGTTTCATCCTTGCGTTGCATGTGGTGCTATGTTCGTCTTCTGTTAGCTGGGGTGGGGTTAAACGGGCCAAGACAGCGAAAAAACCTTCTTCCCCTATTCCCTCCACCTCAGCACAATCTGATTCTGCACCCTTAGGGTAACGGACTTGTCTTCTATTTTACAGCAACAGATGACTTCGGTTCGTTCACTTATCTCGGATGCGATGTCCGGTCTCCGGCAGGAGATCGGTATCCGTTCAGGGGTTAGTGGCGATCCGGGGTCGTCTGTCGGAGGTACTCCTACCTCGGGCTTAGGCCCAGGGACGGGTTCTGCTTCCGGAGGGGTGCTTGCTTTGAGCCTCAGCTCTGGTATTGGCCTCACTGCTAGTGCGCTTGTGTCCGGCCCGAGCTTAGGCTCCGGTACAGCACAGCTCACTAGCGTTGGTACTTCGGGTCTCGTACCATTGACAACCAGCACCCAAGCTGGGGATACTCGAGCGTCGGTGTTGCCGATCGCCTCGGTGCCTTCCAGTACTCCGGGGAATCCTGCTTCGGCAGGCACTTCCCTGGGTTCTTGGCGACTTGCCTCGGCCTCGAGCCTAGGATCGGTCGGGCCAGGCACCTCGGCTCTTCTTGCTCCCTTAACCTTGTCCGTGGAACCGGCTTCTGTGATTGCGGAGGTGACTCTTGACACTGAGAGTTCACTCCCGGAGGAGCAGGAGGAGGAGGCCATGGATGAGGACGGGGGGCAGGAGGCATCGGGGGAGGGTAACTTCTCGCTTGGTCCGTCCCTACGGCAAGTGCGTGAACGCATTGCTTCTATATTGCCGCAGGTGGTCGTTCTGTCAGACGGCCCCGACCCCATGGAGTTTCGTCTCCCCGGGGAGGCGTTTGCTCCGTGTCGGGTCGCAGAGTCCCATTTACGTATATTGCCTTCACTCATTAGTGAGGTAATAAATCCTCTGCTATCAGGTGGCAGGACACGCTTCGAGCTGAACCGGTGCTACTTGATGGGAGGGGATGCTCTATATGAACCCCCGGTAGTGGATGAGTGCATTTCTGCCTCAGTCGCCCTGGGGGGGGGGGGGGGGTGTGTGTGGGTCATCGGGCCATAGCCAAGCGTCGGCTCGTCAAGGTCGGCGCGTACCTCCATTCACCTCCAACAACCAAGTGTTGAAGTCCGTGTATCGTTCATTCGAGAGCAATATCGAAATGCAGTTCAACATCTTAAGGTTTCTGTCCACTCGGCTAACCTCTCAGCGCTGCAGAGGAAGCTGGTGGACCAGGAGGGCGTGGACGACGCCGTGTCATCGTCTACGTTAGCGAGGCAGCTGACGGAGGTGCATTCTCATCTGGCACGCGACGCCATTCGGTCGTGCGCAAGCCAAATGATGTGTGCAGTCATGGGCCTCCGTCGGTTGTGGCTGTCAGTGGCCAGGTATTTGCCAGCTACTCAACAGGCGCTACTTTCTCTGCCCTTCAGGATGGGTTCAACCCTTTTCCCGGGGGCATTGACAGTAGTCAGGGAGACCGCGGAGGTGGTTAGTCAGTTTAAGGATTCTAAACCCTTACTCAAACAACCCCTCACTTCTCGCGCCCGGCCTCCCGTCCTTGTCTCAGCTTACCCTTCCTCGTCAGGAAAGGAAGCGCCTAAGTGGACTGCTCCACTACAGGCACGTAGAGGCAAGGGCAGGGGTAGAGGAAAGGGCAAGGCTGCTTCCTCTCAGCAGCATTTTCAGAGGAAGGGGAAGTCGGCCCCGGCTTCCCAGTAAGCTTTCCTCCGGAGCCCTTAGTGGTCCCGGCACAAGCAGTTGTTACACTGCCGTCTGCCGGGATTCACTGCCTATTACCCGACGTCCCTGTCGGCTGCCGACTACCTCTGTTCCTTCGGGAATGGGAGAAAGTCACATCAAATCCCTGGGTCCTGTCCACACTCAGGGATGGCCATATGCCGCAGTGGAAGCGAGGCCCTCCTCCTTTCTCCGGGATTCGTTGCACTCCAGTGCCGAACTCTCAGGAGAAGGCGGATATTCTCTGTGCCGAGGTCCAGTCGTTGCTGGACAAGGCAGCCATCGAGGTGGTTCCGACGGGCCAGGAAAATCAAGGGGTTTATTCCACTTATTTCCTGGTTACCAAAAAGGACGGAGGGTTCAGGCCCATTCTCAATTTAAAGGGCCTGAACAACTTACTAGAGGTACCGTCCTTCAAGATGGAGACACTGCGTTCAGTGATCTCATCTGTGGAGGCAGGGGATTGGCTCACGTCAATCGACCTCAAGGACGCATACCTCCATGTACCAATGCACCCCGAGTTCAGGAAATACTTCCGGTTTTCCTTCGATGGGAGGTGCTATTAGTTTCGTGTGCTCCCCTTCGGCATCTCCATGGCGCCAAGGGTGTTCACAAAACTAATGTTAGTGCCTGCTCAAGTCGCCAGGGCACAGGGCAACTTTTTGTTACCCGTACCTGGACGACTGGCTTCTCAGAGCACTTGCCACTAACTTGAGTCGGGATTCCACACAGTCAGTGATGGACATTCTCACCAGGCGAGATTCGAGACACAGCAGGGTTTGGTCTCTCTGTCTCAAGATCGCATTTCCAAAGTCCAAAGGATTGTTTTACAATTCCTTCAGTCCCCCAGGGCCTCAGCACGCACATGGCTTCAGTTGCTAGGCAACATGGCGGCGACAGTGGACATACTTTGGCATGCGCGTTTGAGGATGCGACCAGTTCAGCAAGCGTTAGCACAGCTGTGGTCACACTCGGAGAGTTACGAGACAATTCTCCTAACTCCAGAGTGGCTTATTCCTCACCTGAGGTGGTGGACCGGCACCGGGAATCTAGCCACCTGGAACGGTGCCCACGCTCACAATTCAGACGGACGCCTCCCTCTTTGGGGGGTTGGGGGGTGGTTTGTTCCTGGGAGACCTCACAGAGAACGAGACGACCTTACACATCAATGTGTTAGAATTGAGAGCAGTCCAGTTGGTGTTTGAACGCTTCACGGAGCAGGTTCGGAACCGTATGGTTCATCTAGAAATGGACAATCAAACGGCGATGTCCTATATCCTGAAGCAGGGCGGTACGGTGTCTTCGTCACTCCTTCAGGAGGCGTGGCAGTTTCTACTGTGTTGCGACCAGTTCAACATTCGGGTCTTGCCTGTGTATCTTCCGGGGGAGGACAACGTTCGTGCAGATGCTCTCTCACGTCGTATCCTG